GCAAAAAAAGAGCCAAGAAGAAAAAGCACCTTGTTGAAGCGGCCAGAACCTTTACCTGACAAAACCGGCTCGAACAAAGCATCTCCAACACGATTCAGCTTCAATAGTCTTCATAAATGTTGTAGCCGAATGAGTTAGCGTGCGTCTGGAGTTATTTTCAGGTCATTCCCATCAGTGGTTAAAAAGTTACAGAAGTTTTCGTGAAGCCGGTCTGTTCTATTTTTCAAGCTATCGGTCAAGCTATCGGTTAATGAGTGACCGATAGGAATGCACCTGGGGGCCTATCGGTCAAGAAATGACCGATAGGAATGCATCGGATGTATTCTGGTCATTCTATCGGTCACCTTCAAGACCGATAGAAGCCTATCAGTCAAGGAGTGACCTATGGGAATCACCTGAAGGACCATATCGACTGAAGATCAGCTCAGATGAGTTGTTTGCATTCCGACTTGGCCTCGGTGTTCTTCATCAACTTTGTAGCCACCATAGTTAGATTTATTTTGGTATTAGTTTCGAGTCATTCCCATTAGTGGTTGAAGAGTTACGGCAAATAAAGTGAGAACATGCCCATCTGGAGTTTTGACCATTGATCTTGACCGACTTGAAAATTAGCTCGGACGAGTAGCCTCCGTCTTAATTCATGATATATCATGGTTTTTATGGTTTTTAACCATGATATAAGTCCTTTTTATTGAGTCTTTTTGGTCTTTTTAGAGTTCTAGTAGAGTCTTTGCAGGTTATAGCATGTTTGGGGCATAATTGGAGATATTGAAGCCTTTTGAAGCATTACAAGTTGAAGCCACGAAGTGACCAGCTCGGAGAAGAAAGTATGCTCGTCACCCATATGGGAAAGGTCGTGGCTGGTTTCTAAAAGATTGGGAAGAAATTGCAATTTGGCCCAGAAGTTCCAGTATTTGCAAAAAGACCCCAGATCGTGTTTTACCTTAAATATTAGTTTTTTCAGCCATTATTTTGGTGGATATCTTGTATCTTATTATTCTAGAGAGCTTTAGAGAGAGATTTGTAGAAGAGCTTTTGGAGAGACAAATCAGACTCCTTCAGAGCAGATTTTGAACTCCTTCATCTTTACTTCTTATTTCTTTTATGCAATCTATTCTTTTCATGATGTTTGTTTCATTCACCATGTCTGAGTAGTTTGTTAATTAAGTTAGGGCTTTTCAAATGTTGAAGAAGAGTTTGTAGAGTTGCTAAACTATTAGGAAAATCCATTGGTTCTTCATCTGTGCTTGCATTCATATCGATTTCTTAGACACATCATCTGGATTTCGAAACCCTAGGTTGTTTGATAGATGTGAGAGCATTATTAATCACCTGAACTAGTACTAGATGAACAAAACGCCCTAGTGCAAAGAGATTTGGCTTAGGAGTTTTGTGAACAATTGAACCTGATCATTACTGCATGTTTAGGTTGTTAGGGTTTGCAAAGAGATTTGAAACTCTGTGATTTAGGCATAGTTAACTTCTGCAATGAGAATTGATTAGTTATAATTTTGCGATTCATGTTCAAGACGGTTTTAATTCATTCCTGATTGCATGCATTCTACACTCTCGGATTCAACCTGCAAATTGTCCTGACTTAGCGCCTTTAGCTTTCTGAACTTTAAGAGCAAGCATAAAACGCCCACTTGCATTTATTTTACTGTTTCGCATTATATTCATTACTTAGCTTAATCTGAACCTACAATCGATAGTGTAGTTTACATACTCCCTTGGGATTCGATAACCCCTTATACTACGACTGCTTTGCTGTGCACTTGCAGCAGTAGTTTTTATTTGGGTAAAACCTGAGCCCTATCAAATTTTTGGCGCTGTTGCCGGGGAGTAATAGATACCTATCGATTTTTAGTATTAGGATTTTGTCTAAGTTTTTATTTGTTTACTAACTTTCTGCTACTTTTCTTTGTGCTGGTTTCAGGTGTATGCCTAATCGCAGTACCAGAAGCAACAAAGAGAAGGAGCTTGTGACTTTGAGCATCGACGAACTTGTTAAGTTGGAGAAGACCATCAGGAAAGCTAAAAAGCAATCTACAATGGTCGCTCCACTTATTTTGGTTGAAGATGCAGAAGGTCACTTGGTTGACAGAGAGGGAAACAGGAGGAACGAAGATGGGCAGAGGATTGATCAAGATGGGAATGTCATTGTTGAACAGCAGGTTCAACAAGTGGGACAAGACGCTGGAGTCCCTGCTGCTGCTAACAACGCTGATGGGCGTTTTGTTCAGAGGACTTTAGGAGACTACAACAGACCTGATCAGTTATATGCCAACAGAGCTTAAACCTGTCTACTATCAGCTGGTTGGCCAGCATCCATTCCATGGCTTACCTCATGAGCATCCTATGGATCACATTGAGAGTTTTGAGGATTTAGCTTCAAGTGACAAAGCCAATGGAGTCACTAATGACTTTCTGTTCTGCAAGCCTTTCCCTTACTCTCTTGGAGGAGAGGCTGCATATTGGCTGAAGCAACTGGAACCTGCTTCACTGACCACTTGGGAAGACACTAAGAATGCTTTTTCTGAACAACTTCTATGATGATGCAAGATCAGAAGACATGAGGACGAATATTGCATCCTTTACACAAGGACCTACTGAAGCTTTTAAGACTTCTTGGATTAGATTCAAGTCTTACCAAAGGGACTGTCCTCATCATGGCTTCAGTCAGGTGCAACTACTTGGGATCTTCTTCAGAGGCATTGATTGGAAATACCAGATGGCGCTGGATGCAGCTAGTGCTGGAAACTTCAACACCAACAGACCAGAAGAGGTGATCAGGTTGATTGAGAATCTGGTCTGCAGCAACATCACTAAGAATGCAGATTTTCAGAGGATGAAACAAGCTGGTGTGGATGATGGAAATCAGATTGCTGAAGTTAAGGCTAAGCTGGACAGTATGCACAGCCTCTTGGTGGGAAAGAAGTCAGTTCATTTCGCTGCAGAGGTGGAGACTTTCGAAGGTTCAGAAGAAGTTGATCAGGAAGATGTGAATTTCATCAATTCTGGAGGTTTTCAGGGTCAAAGGTATGGAAATCAGCAATGGAACAGAGGCTACAACAACAACAATCAGAAGAGTGCCTTTACAGGAAGCCAGAGCACGCCTGGTTACACACCTAAGCCTCCATTCCAGAAGACAGAGTACCAGAAACCATTCCAGAACAGTGGAAATTTCAACAGAAACTATGGTTCTTCTTCCTACCAACCTGCACCTCCACAAGGAAACAAGATGGAAGCAATGCTGGAACAGATCCTAGAAGGACAACAGAAGCCGACAGTGGACTTCAATGGCAAGATAGATTCGCTCTATCAGCAATTGAATGGGAAAATTGAGAGTCTGAACTCTCACATGAAGAAGCTTGATGTCCAAGTTGCTCAAACTGCAGGAGCTGTTCAAAGGCAAGGGGGATTCCTTCCTGGAAGGACTGACATCAATCCCAGGCAAACTTGCGCCAAACAAACTTGGTAGGCAAATCTGAATAAGTTAGTTCCCTTGCATCGGAAAACTTTATTGCAAGCCATCCAAGCTAAAAATTTCGTCATAGTAAACTCTTTTCTGCTGATTACTTCGTCAATCGAATTATCATCGTTAAACAACAAAAACTCTTAACCTGGTAAATGGAATGAAAGCTCAACAGCTGCAGTTATCCTAAATTGTGATGGAAACGCAAGAATTCTCCATGTAGACTCGCAAGCCGATATTGTACCTTCGAAGCACAACCTGAAGTTTGAAATTAAACTATATTCTCAAAAAAATGAAACTAAAAGCATAAAATCTAAATCACACAAATAAACACAAACCAGCAACTTATTTTCTTTTTTAATCTTGTCCTCATGCAAGACACCCTTATCAGCACTGTCCCTTTTTCTGACTCAGGAAGAACGATCATTGTATAAGCATCCACCAGAAACTGCTGATACAAACGCCCGGACATAACGATAGTGGTAGCTTCCCCTTCTCTGGATTGTATTCGAAAAGCAAAAAACTCTCACATAGTGATATTTTTGCGCACTCTCCGAGATGTATCAACAAATCCAATGTCAATCCCAGTCTGAAACCGTCTTCACCGTAAGAAAACAAAAGGGATACTAACGCCAAGTAAGCAGGATGCAGCTCACTGATCCTATGTAAACGACTATCTATAGTTTCAACAACAATATCATGTGTTTCAACACTCATCTGAAAACCTCCAGGAATAAGAACGGCAACGTCATTCTCGGTTGGAAAATCGTGTATCCTTCCATTGAGATGTCTCCCACTTTTTAAAACCAACCGCATACTTTCAATATTATCTTCCAAATGCTACCTTTTACCAGCAGTTCTTAATGCCTTCACATGAGGATTGTAAGTATCGAACATCCTCTTCAAGCGCTCAACTATATCCGCTCCGATCTTTCCATTCGGATGAGATTTCATTTAGTTTACAAAAAAAAAAAAAAATCGAATTAGTAAGAACATACCAAAGCGATATTTAAAACAAAACAAAACTCAAAATATTAGTCATAAGCTTTGATTCTATTGGAAATTTCATTAGCAGTATCATTTATATATAACTGCAAAAAAAGAAAACAGGATGTTCATTGATATCCGGAAAAGATCAACACTTTAGGAACCGAGCAGATACTTTGGTAATCAACCAATCTGATGCAACGGCAATCACCTCAAGGTTAATCATGTGTGGCTGCAAATTACTCAGCCACTTAGTCCTAATTTTTAACCCTTTTGCTCTCACCATTCAAGACTTGTGCAGAGTCCAGCAACTTTTCTTTAAGATAAAAAGAAAACTTTAGCCAGTCATGTAAGAATGAAATCTGAGATCTTATGTACACTTTTAGCTGGTCAATATCAATCAGTCCTACCCTACTTTGTTGGGAAAACGATTGTGTTCCTTTTCGATCTTTTCTTTTGGGGTGTTTGAAAATATACAATCTGGCTTTCTTGGATGATATGTTGTACATCTTTATCATCTTTTGGTATCTATGATACCAATGCCTTGGCACCTTCCAAATCCACTACAAACGCTAGAACCTGATCCGTCCTACAAATCCATAAACCATAACCAATAAACAGAAGATCTAATCAACTGCATATATGATTGTGGTGTTCTGGCATTTCTATACAAATTTTCTACTATTTTTGTTTTTTAGTTTGTGAGCAAAGAGATATCGAATGAGAATCTAAACGTGTATATTTGCAAAAAGAGAGAAAGAGTGGCTTGGCTCAGAAAGCTTAGGACGTTGCAAGGAAGTCATGCAGATTGGTACTGTTTCCATACCAATAAACTGTTCTCCATATCATTGGCATTAGCACAAGCATGTAAGAGAAAATCTAGACATTTTCTTGAAGGAACAAACCCAAACTCCTTTTTCATAAAACTTAGCAAATCCATCCCTAGCTTCACTTCGGTTTGCTCCATCTCTGCGATTGCCCAAAACACCTGTTCCAGAACAGCATATCACTGAGAGGCTTAAAGTACTGAATATACAACTACAGTAAAAAAGAAGTAAGATCGCTTCTTCGAATCCCGTTATGACTAAAGAACATGGAATGTGAACGTTGCACATACCCGGAGACATCTCGACGTTATCTTACATGGCTAATGAACAAATTTTCCAGAAACCCAAATGAGAAACAGAATCAAACCTCGTCGAAATGATATTTCACAGGAGTTATTACCCAATGCCAACAGTCTCCCATCTTCCTCAAGAGCAAGATTTTGAAGTGTTCCAACAGCGATTATACGCACATTTTCAAGACCTTGAACTCTTACGGGAACAAATATTTGTTTTCTGCAGTTTAGGAAGAAACCAGAACCCAACTTTTTAGAGATATCCTAAGAATGCACAAAATATATACTATTGCCTTGTGAGAGTTCTATCTACATGTCACCGGGAGGCCACGGTTGGCCCTCGTCCACACTTGACCTTCGCGTGTCAGAACCACCGAGTGAGTACCACCTGCAGCAACCAGTTAAGAAGATTAGACCCTCAAATGTAACATTGATAGAGTTTTAAATTTTGAGGACACAAGCTAGTTTTCATGTCGGATTGTAAGCTTAGGGGCACAAGGCTTAGGGATCACAATATCTCTTCGCACGGGTCTACCCATCTCGTCTTTTAAAGGCTCCTCACCACATTGTCTATATTCAATCCCACCTACTTGTATTTCCATAATCATTTGATAGAAATAGGGACCTTTACCATCATTAATCGCATGATTTACCTTTCCTCCTAGAGAAGTCAATAAAAACATCATGGTGTATGCTCTTTTATTCTGATGGTAGTTTTTACACCTCTCTTGTTCACTATTATAAAGCAAGGTCAGCAAAATTCTCGGAGGATCCCTAAGAAGTGGGAGAGTAACTTCCCTTGCCCACAACAAATCACGAAAACCAGAATTCCTTTTTTTGTTCTTTTACTCAGGCGTTCTCCATTCCATATAAAAGCTCGACAATTGCCACAAATATAAGTAGGATCACCCTCATCAACATAATCTAGAAAAATTAATAATTTAGCATGACTCAATAAATACTAACAATGTATCACGAATATAGAAATAATTCTTACTGTTAGGGTTCGCAATGACAACGTTATTAAAAATGGATTCACCTGAGTTTCCATCTCTTCGAACATCTATACAACGAGAAACATTATCACCATCGTCTTCTGGCTCAGAATCAGTGGGCACAAAAGCAACCAGATTTTTAAATACCAACAAAATCATTAAAAAAAACCACCGCTTCTCCTTCTACCCAAGCATGTAAAAGGATGGTAATCGAGCACTAACATTATCCTTGATGGTCTGAGGATAACCTGATTGTGTTATTGGTTCCATACATATGCAAACAAAGAGCAGAACCCAGGCTTAAAAAACGTTAAAAGCTGATTTAAACTCACTTAAACAACTTATTCTTTTTGACCAAACAAATAAAAACAACTTTTTCTTAAAACTACTCACCAACCTAAAATGAAACCTCATATCTCTGTCGCCTTTGAATGAAATGAGGATGATTTCTTTTCATAAATCGTAAGAGTCAAACCACATTGGATGATCTGAACCACTCCAATATTTCCATCTTTGGACTGTTTAATTTGAACTTACACATTAGATCAATAGAAATATGAACCAATCACATTTATATAAATTGAATAAATTGTATACCTTCTAAAGATTTATTTAGTTGAAAGCTGAACCTTTTTTTTTGGATCAAAATGGTTGAAAGCGGAACCTAAGAATCTGTTTTACAGACCAAAAGAAACAAACAAAAAAAACCTTGATTACATAAGCATTTACAATATGCCATCAATTGTTAAGATTTTACGTTTACACATTTCTTTAGTTCTTTCATAGTTTCGGCATAAGCCAATATCAAATTTAGAACATCTTCCTAGTGCTTACAGTCTTCTCAAGTAGATTTCATGCACAGAATCTTCCACAAGGTATTTCTCATTTATTTAGAACATCTTCCTGGTGCTTTATCTCCATGTCATATCCACCACGACTAAATTCATAAGGCTCATCTATTGTAATACAACTCTATCACCATATTCATTGGAGGCAAATTTTGTGAAACCTTAATTAGAACCTTAAATCCTAAAAAACACAAAAACGTTTCAGAATAATATATACAAGAATAAGAAACACATTTAGAATTATAAAAAAAAAGAAAAGAATAAAAAAACACACCAATCAATTCAAATTTTCTTGCTTCTTCTTTATTATTCTTCGTCTACATGGAAAAAGAACATGTTCTCTTCTTCTTTATTATTCATCGTTCTTCTCTGTCTACTTCTTATATATTTTCATTCGTGATCATATCAAAGAATGAAGAAACAAAATTAAAAAAATGCATGATTAATTACATTTCCTATCAATGTTGCAAGAAAACACTTCCAAAGATCATATTAATTGAATCCAATTTGTGAACCAAATCAAGACAGATTATTACAAAAACACTGTACACTTATAAAAATGGTAAACTAATGTTATATTAAACATAAATAAGAAAACAGGAAATAATAGTTTTTTCTTCGACCAAAAGAAAATCACCTATTTCCTAATTCCTCTTAATACTTCTGCTTCCTCGATAATACACTATTGGTGTCCTTCCCTTTCTTTTCTTGTCAAACATTCTGAGGTTGAGGTCTCTAGGGTTTCTAGCTCTTCTTTTTTTTTTTATTTGTCATTACTCTTCCTTTCCGACTTCACATACATAAAGATATTATTTCAAGACAAACATAATAATCACATCTTAAAACAATCAAATCAAAACTTTAAACTTCACGGGAAATTTAATAAATGAAATACAGCTCAAATTCCGACACATATACACACGCACTCACTAATCACTTTCTCAAACTAACACTAAAAACCAAAGAGTTTAAGTAGGTATGGTGAATGGAGTTAAAGCGTTTAGATAAAAAAAGAGATTGAAAAACTCAAAAAGTAATCTAGACCAAACTAATAATCAGCGCAATATACTCTAGAATTAGATTGCACAACTCAAATCCAAACCCTAAAACTACAATTATGATTCAAATCAGATACCAAATATACAAACAGATATCAAAAGAAACAAAAAAAGACAAAAAAGATTAGATCTGTCAAAACAATCCGCATTGAAAAGCAAAAGAAAACTCACAAAATATCCAGACTAAGAAATCAGGGGAAAAAATATAGCATACCAATAGAGATTATCATGAGATTCAATCTAAGATGATCCACCAAATAGAAGAAACACTACATCTGGTATAAAACCTTATATATTTTTGAAATTATACATGGTACTCCATAAACTTCAAGACATCAAGTGATGAATCTTAAAACTCCGAGACATGACTTGATGAATCTTTAAACTAGCCTAAACTGAAACACATGGATGTGGAACCAAATCTAGACACAAAAAGAACCGCAGAATACCATTTTATCTTCAATTACAGCCATCACCACCACAACCACTTCTTCCAGAGCCACCATCACCTCTTCTGTAACCACCTCCTACACAGAAGCTGCCACCACTGTATCAAAATCTCCACCAAGGCCACTACCGCCTCCCCCAAACCTGTAATATCCGCTACATATCCACCACCGTGTCCACCGTGGTAATAAACCACCACCATCACCACAACGGCTTCTTCACTGCTGCTTCCTATTGGGATTCTTCCATTCCAGAAAAATCATTTGATCAATCCAAAACCGATCCTAAAAACAATAAAACAAAAGATAGAAAATTAATAGCAAAAGGATCGGACACAATCAAAAAGTTAATATCAATAGAATCGTAAATTGACAGAACCAAAAATATATGAAAAAAAAAACCCCAAAACATCAAGATATATATATCCATACCTAAACAATCCATGAATCGACCTAATAGGGCTACCAATGATGGTTACAATACCAAACCTACAAAATATAAACAAAACATTAAATCGATAGACCCAGTTAAGGGAGTACAAAATGAACACAAAACAAACTGTAAACAAATATAGAAACAATTATGCAATGCAAAGCTCACTTAATCCAAACAACATGACACAATCGGATCTACAAACGATACATAAATAACAAATAAAATAAGAGACAGCAGAAAAGGAAACTACACCGAAATAATAAGCTATAATATCATCTACATGGAAATAAATTGTCCACCACCATACAACAACGATTCAAACCGCAACTGAACCTGTAAAAGAAAGAGACAAACGATAAAAAATCATTGGAACCGCAAAGATAATAGCAAAACAGTATTCAATAACACATACCGCATATACCCAGACGTGGCTTCAAGAAATAACAACCTACAATAACTGAAGATAGATCAGTTCTATAGATCAAAAGAGGAAATCGAAGAAGACACGATAAACGAAATTAAATCTGTAAATTGATAATTAAAATATAAAAAAACACTAAAAGCATAAAACTTAGAGCTAAAATAAAAAATCACCGAGTACCAGCCAACAAAATATATAGGATAGTAGATTAGGGTTCTCAATAACTGAATTAGATTTAGCCAAAAATATTTAAATAAAACTAACGGCAAAGTAAGCGGACAGCGTTAGCCAAATTAGGATTGGCTGCAAAATAGTTAGAATTAGTCAAAAATAAATCACATAATTTAATATTAAATACAGCCATTAAAGTCGATAAGAAGCCAAAAAAAACAAGAAGATTACTCTTTTTCAGGTAAATAGTTCTAAAAAGACTTTACGCCATGGCGACTTTGGAGATTCCGGTCGCCTCGCTGATGAAAAAATCTCACGGCATTGCTCTCTGAGAATAATACATGGCGGCGTGAGGTTGTGGAACTTTACCCTATGATCTCATCCGCGCTATCGGTGTCATAACCATTCTGGAATCATAGATTCAGAGTCTTAATAGAGACAACAGATAAATTAATGTGATTAACGGCTGTTTTAGTTTGTGATGAAGAGTACATGTGATCTCAAATGATGAAACTCGTACCATTATCGCTTAACGAGTGCATCTGCTTGAAGAATACAAAACAAAGGAGAGATCATGTAAACAAATCACAACCAACACAATAATCGATTACAAAACACAAACACAGAAATTCAGAATACAAAAATACAAAATTAAACTAAAACATGAGAAAAAAATCAAAAACTAAAACGATATGATATAAAATATCGAGAGATAGCAAACCATATATATAGCTTATAGGATTAGGATTTCTTTATTAGCTATGTTAGGTTTAGCCACAAAAATTGCAGTCGTCACCCTAAACTATATTATTAACGATATAAGATTTAAATTTGGAGTACAAAAAGTAAATATAAAAATCTTGGAATATATTGGAATACATTAGCGATTTCTTCATTGGATACTTAGATAATGTTTAGTGAGATTGAATGAGAGAGCTCTATTCCTCAAAATCACTTCACAAACAAAGGTTTAGATTGGCTTAGGATTACTCTATATTATTAAGTTAGTAGGGTTTTGGCCTTCGCTTTTACTATATATATATACAACATATATATATATATATGATTCATGATATTGTAAGAATCACAACTTTTATTGAATAAATTATTAGAGCCTTTAAACTCTTCTCTTTTTCTTATTACGGTTAGAACAAATTGTTGTCAACGGAATAAAAAATTCTCGTCACTTAGGTAGTTTTAGACTAAACAAGAACTTCAACTATCGTAGAGAGAGCTACATCATTTTCTCATTGCTCCATTTATTTCTATAAGCTTTGTTTTGAGCTTGTACTTTTCTTTAAAAATAGTGAATTGCAAGATTGAGTCGGTTCAAATCACATCGATAAAGTTGAACTTGGTTACCAAATCTCTGTGTTATTTAGTTTCATGTTTTTTACTTTCGATTATTCAATCATTGATCGGGAGTTGCAATTGAGCTGAGAACAATTTTTTGTGAGTTCCTTACATGTAGGTGTATCAAGGTCGATCTATAATGAAGTGGTATCAGAACCATGTTCATGGCTAAGGAACTGATGCAAAGTGTTCGGCTTGATGTCGATTCGTTTGACAGAGAAGACGATTTCTCGCTATGTAAGATTCAATGTTAGTGCATTTTAGAATCCTTAAGATCAAGTACATTCTCTACTATAGTGACTTTACTATACTGGTTCCTGGAGTAAGAAAGAAGAGAAGCAACCTACGGTTGGCGAAGATGAGAAGTTGGCGATGGCAACACTGTGACTGATGATCCAGTTAAGCTTGATCAAAACAAAAGAGCTATCGGTTTCATCATTGCTAACATTGATAATCAGGTTTTTTCGCAAGATTAAACATTGTATGACTGTTTCAGATATGTGGTCGGCTGTAATTCGAGTATACAACAAAAGCTCATTGCCCAATCGCATTTATTTGCAATTGAAATTCTACACTTTCAAGATGAAAGAATCCAAGTCGATGGATCAAACAGTTGATGAACTTCTAAAAATTGTGTCTGAGATGGGGAATCTTGATATCGCAGTTTTTTATGAAGTGTAAGCAATCATGTTCTTGACTTCCCTAACTCCAAGCTTTTACAATCTGAAGCATACTCTGATATAGAGGCGTTGACATCATAAGATATAATTTCCACAGTAAGATCAAAGGAGAGAGAGTTACATAAAGGTTAAAGAAGTGACAAGGGGTTGGCTCTGTATATTGAGGATCGAGGAAGATCTACAACAAACGAATAAGGGAAAACATTATTGCAATAGAAGCAGGACTAATCAAAGACAAGGCTTACATGTTGGCTCTGCAATAATGAAGGACATGTGAAGAATTACTTTTATGCAAGAAAGAAGAAATATCAAAAGGAGAATCAAAGTGAAGCTTATATTTCTGTGAGCATTGTGTTATGGGAAAGTCAAAGAAGCTGAGCTTCAACGTGGGAAAGCACATTACAAAAGATTATATTGGCTACGTTCACACTGACTTATGAGGATCGCCAAACGTGACTCCTTCTCTCTTAGGAAAACGTTATTTCATGAAAGTTTGGTTGATGTTTCTCAGAACAAAAGATGAAATATTTGAGATGTTATGTGAATATAACGATCTGGTTGAAAATCAAATGAAGAAAAAGGTGAAGGTTCTAAGAACTGATAATGAGTTAGAGTTCTGCAGTATAATTTTCAATGAGTATTGTAAAAAGAATGGTATAGAGAGGCATCGAACGTGTACATACATGCCTCAAAAATATCCTTGATGAATCAGGCCTTGATGAGTCATTCTCGGTAGAAGCAGATCTGATTAACCGCTCTTCAGCATCAGAAATTGATCACAATCTGTTGGAGCAGTTGTGGTTGAACAGAAAGCTAAGGTATAAGCACATAAGAATATTTGGTTCAATTGTATATGTTCATCAGGAACAAGTTAAGCTCATGCCGAGAGTTCTGAAATGTATTTTTTTAGGTTACTCTCAAGGAACAAAGGGGTACAATATTTGTCTAATTGATGAATAAAAATGGGTTGTCAGCAGGAATTTAGTATTCCATGAAGTCCTAGTTTATAAGAATCTGAAAGTTCCCAAGACAGTTCAGAAGGCCAGTGAAGTAAATCCATCATCAATAGGGTTCATAGAGTTAACGTCTAATGTTAAGAAAGGTAGAAAGCAAGGGCCAGCTTTTATAGAAGGTCGCGGAAGGTGTAGAGAGTTCAGGTGCAGGTCGAGGTATTAAAGTTAGCTCTAATGACTCTGAGTTAAAATAATCTGCATCTGAGAAAGAGCCAGGAACAAAAGCACTAGAGAGTAGTGTAGATATGCAATCGCATTATATTGTGAGGGATAAACCTAGAAGTGAGATCAAAAGCACCAGAAAGTAGTGTAGATAGGCAATCGCATCATATTGCAAGGGATAGATCCAGAAGGGAGATAAAGCTTCCAGTGAAGCTTGATAACTATACAGTCTTTGTTTTTGCAATGTTAGCTGCAAAGACATTGACATTGGCGACCATGAATGCTATCATGATGTAAAGAGGAGCAAGGATTGAGTCAAATGGATTGTGGAATCGAGTTGGAATCCTTGTGGAAGAATCATACTTACCAAAAAAAAAGTCATTAGTTATCAATGGTTATACAAGAAGAATCCAAGAATTCCAGGTGTTGAGCCTGAAAGATTAAAAACTCGATTAGTGGCTAGAGGGTTCACTCAAAGAGAAGGGATTGATTACAAAGAAGTATTTTCTCAAGTAGTCAAGCACATCTCAATCATGATACTGATGTCTCTAGTTGTAAAATATGATTTAAGGTTCGGTAAAATGGATCTTAAAACTGCATTTTTGCATGGAGAACTTGATCGAGAGTTGTACATGGAGCAACCTGTAGGGTTCAAAGTTAACTCGAGAAAGATCAAGTCTGTTTGTTGAAGAAGCTGCTTAAGGGGTTAAAGCAAGCACACCAACTTTGGAAAAAGCAGTTTAATACATTTATAAGGGATCAAAGGTCCAACAGAAGTGTGCATGACACATGCGTCTATGTGAAAGAATTCAATGATGACGACTTTGTCTACATGTTACTCTATGTTGGTGACATGCTGTTAGTTTCTAAAAGCTTTACAGAGATCAACAAGCTGAAGGAGGTCCCAAGTTTCAATTTCGAGATGGAGGATATAGGAGCAGCTAGCAGAGTTTTGGATGATACAGGTTTAAAACCAGAGAAAGCCTCAGTATGGTGTGACTCTTAGTTTGGAATAGGGAAAACCGCATAAAAAAACCCTGAAAGTGGCACGTGCTGACACTTTAAACTTCAAAGGTATTTTACAAACACTTTAAACCTTCAATTAAATTTTATTAATAGAAAAAACCTTCTAAGTGGCCTCCAATTTCGCGATCCCGGAAATTTGAACGGAATAGTAAACTTTTTTAACAAAATATCTTCCGATTTCACGACTTTTCGAAGTGACTCACTGAAAATTAAGAAACTAAAATTATAATCGATCTAAAAAGTACATATATCACGATTAAACAAAAATTTGGACAGAATAGTAAACTCGGAACAGCTATTAATCGTGATATATGTACGTTTTGGATCGATAATAGCTTTGGTTTCTTAATTTTTAGTGAGTAACTTCAAAGGGTCATGAAATCTGAAGGTAATTTGTTAACAGAGTTTACAATTCTGTCCAAATTTATGGGGTCGCGTAATCTGAAGCCTCTTTGAAGGTTTTTTCTGTTAACAAAACTAAATTGAATCTTTAAAATGTTAGTAAAATACCTTTAAGGTTTAAAGTGTCAATGCGTGCAACTTTCAGGGTTTTTATGCATTTTTCCCGTTTGGAATATGTTTATCTAAGAACAATGCATTTCATGAACGAACAAAACATATAGCTACAAAATTCAGTTTTCTCACATTATGAAGAAGGGGAAGTTGAAAATTACTTATCCAGCAGATTATTTTACAAAAGGCTTCTCATACTGTAAGTTTCAAGCAGGTTTGGAGTTTCTGAAATTGTTCAGGTGAAGATGAATATTTTTGTGTCAAGTTTAAGTACCATGTTTGTGCAATTCCCTAGAAAGAGAGAATGAACTGAAATCAAGGTGGAGTGTTGTGACTAATAGTTCTGATTTCGGTTCAGTTTGGAGTAAACCAAAGAATCAAAGAAGAGCTGGCTGGTTAGTGATTGTTGATTAAACGACAGAGGCTTCAACTTTTTACACTTTGTATATAAGTGATGTTTTCTTCTTCTTCCTCTTCAAACCATCAATACAATTTTTTTTCTCATTGCTCCATTTAAGCTCGGTTCTTAAGCTATGTACTCTTCTATGAAATAATGAATTGTCGGATTGAATCGGCTCTAGACGTTGGCTCAATCATATCGATGAGTCAAACTAAGTTACTAAATCTTTGTGTCCTTTGGTTTTATGTTCTTCCATATATTGATTCCGCAACTGTATCAAGGCAATTGAATTATTCTTTGGTGAAAAAAAGCCAGGAAAAAAACCTTTTTTTCTCTCTGTTCTATCTCCTCCTCGTGTTTCGCGTCAAACCTAGTTTCTTCCCTTCAGGCAACCTCCATGGCCGGAGATAACTCACTCTGGCCGCCTCCGGATCCGCCAAACCCTGTCCCTCCCCCACCATCTCTCACTTCCTACCGCTGTCCCCTCCCCCTACTGTCCCCTCTGCTATTTGGTCAAGATCTTTCCAAGCCCCTTCTGAACCTTGGACATTGGCCACAACAATGCCTCTTACTACTGAGTCCACTCAGATGGTTACCGATACTACTATGGCTACCCCAACAGATTTGGGTATCACTTGTGAAACCTCTACTTCGCTTCCCTCGGGACCTGAAGATTCTACTATGTATGAAGCTCACGATGTTGTTGCAACGGATGTTCCTACTTTCACGGACGTGGTTCCTGGCTGTGCTTCTCAGCCTTTATCTTCTCCTGATTTAGCGGATCCCACCCATTCCGGGTCAGATCTGGTTTCTAACTCAGGCGGTACGGGTGTGACTTCCTAGGATCTCCCCCAAGCTCCTCCCCCGGTTCTGCAGACTCAAGAGGACTCAACCCAGCTCCCGACGAGTCCCCAATACTCTCAAGATGAGCTAAAGAACTCCCAATAGAATGTGAATACCTGGGCTGCTAAGCTTCAGCAGTCTGTGGACCGAGCTCTGGAAAAAACCAGTTCTCCTGCGCTTACACCTGCTGGAGTTCCCAGAATAAAAATCCCGGATTCTGTCTTCAAACGAGGAGCGGACCTTCATCATGACTTCGTGCTGGACATCTTTATGGGAAAAACTCCCTCCTTTGGCTGCATCCAAAGTGTCTTAACCCACATCTGGGGCAGAGGCATGAAGCTTCAAATCCACATGCGACCTGATTCAAAGTCAATGCTTGTGAGAATTCCTAACTCCTCTATTAAGAAAAAGATTGTGGATCAGAAAATATGGCACATCGGAAGCTCACTCTTCTATGTCGCTCAGTGGTCTGCTGAAGTTGCAGTTAAACCTCCTTCGTTTACCTCCATCCCGCTGTGGGCTCATGTCAAAGGAGTACCGTTTGATCTCTATACTCAGGAAGGGCTCGGGCGTGTGGCAGATCTGCTTTGTCTTCCTGTGGAGTGTGATGAATTTGCAAGAAGAATGGTTAATATTAATGTTGCGCATATAAAGGTCAAAACCGATTGCACTAAGCCTCTCCCTTCCTATGGGGAACTTGAAAGGAAAAACGGGGAGATTATTCCCATCACGGTTGAGTACCCGTGGATTCCTCCCACTTGCCCCTGCTGCAAGCAACTGGGTCACCTGGAAACCCTTTGCCCGAATAGTCAATGGGTTCCTTTTACTGCAGAAAATGTTATCCCTACAGGATCAGCCCCATCTGCTCAACCTCCAAACAAAGCAGCTTCGGCACCTGTTGACCTCGTATCTCCAGAGGTGTCCCCTGTTGACCTGACGTCGGAGGTCCCAGTCAACTCGTTAAGTGGCTCCTCTCTTTCCGTTGGTATAGGAGATCCGCTTCAGGAAGCTTCGAAGCCTGAAAACCTTTCTCCCCTGGGAAAAGGGGCAGTGGAGATTTGCTCAGATGATATTGCTGCCCCGCCCGATGTGGAAAAGATATCCCACCTCATTGCTCTTCCTGTTCACGTTTCTCACCGCCCAGTCATCAATAGAGTTTTCAAAAAGGCCTCTCCAACAGGCGCCCGTTTTATCAGGAAGCCGCCTAGGGCCAAATCTTCCTTGTCGATAGAAGGTATCAACCCATTTGCCTGCCTTGATACGAATGGTTCTATAGTTCTCGAAGGGGAGGCTGGGGATTCTTCCCTCTCTTCCGAACCCCCAGATAATGACCACACTCCGTCGGGTTCTGCAATTGCGGCGCTTCCTATCCCCAATGGGTTCACTTCTCCTTCAGTGGGATCTCTCCTGCAAATGGGAGAGCACCAACATTAAATCTTTTATTTTAGACAACATATTTTTTTGGAATGTCAGAGGTATTAATAATAATCAAAAGCACTGGGCTTTTCGACGCTGGCTTGTAAGTAATAAAGTTTCTTTTGGAGCCTTACTGGAAACTCATATCAAAGAACCCAATCTGAACAAGGTTTTGACTGCCATTTGCCCTAACTGGTCCTTTCTTTCCAACCATGCCGCTGATGAGGATGGTCAGATAATTCTGGTGTGGAAACAGCCTTTCTCTGTCGTCCTCCTCCGCCTATCAAAACAGACTCTGACGTGTAAAGTAAGCTTTCCTGGAATCTCGGACTTCATCTTCACTGATGTGTATGCAGCGAATACTTTGGAAGATAGAAATGATCTTTGGATTAATTTACTGGAAACTGAAACTGCCCTCTCTCTCCGTAACACAGCTTGGCTTGTGGGAGGAAACTTCAACGAAACTCTGCACCCTTCAGAGCACTCTCAGCCTGATTTCAATCAGATCACCTCTCCCATGATTAACTTCAAGGATTGTCTTCACCAACTTGAGCTAAGAGACCACCGTTATCAAGGAACCAAGTTCACTTGGTCCAATAAGCAACCTGCTGACCCAATTGCTAAGAAACTGGATCATGCCCTCATTAATGAACATTGGCTTTCCACATTTCCTCAAAGCTTGGCTCAGTTCCTTGCTCCAGATATCTCGAACCATTCCCCCTGTTGTATAAATCTTGCTTCGGCTCCTCCCTCTGCTGGAACTCTGCCTTTCAAATTCTACAACTATCTCGCCAGCCATCCTGACTTTCTTGGAACAGTTTCTGCGTCTTGGGATTTTACTCCAGCCCACTGCCACTCGCTAAAGGCTCTCTCTGCAAAACAGAAGCTGATTAAAAGCTCCTTAAGAAGCCTCAACAAGGACAATTACTCGGATATTCAAAAGAGGGTCAGTGAGGCTAAGGACCTGCTCAGAGCTGCGCAACTAGTGTCTCTAAATAATTGATACAAGGGTTTTACCCCTTGTAGGACAATTGTCCTAGCTTGTACTAGTCAGTTGCAGTATAGCATAGGGTTGTATCAATCCAAATGGGAAGAGTTGAAAGACAGAAGAGTTGAGAGTGGAATCTCTAAGTCAAGCAAGCCAGGAAAGGGTTTTGTTGCCTAAGCAACAGTTCTAACAACCTAGGTGAAGCAAGCAGCAACAAGGTGAAAGCAAAAGCAAACTAAGCAATTCTAAGCAAGAAAACAGAGTGAAACAGAGCAAAACAGAGCAAATTCGAAATTCAAATTAGGGAAAGACAAGTTCATAGATGTGGTTATTGACTTTGGGGAATTTCAGACATTGATTAAGGTTGTTTCAAACTACATTGATCAAGCAGGTAAGCAAGCAATGGTGGTTCCTAGACATAGAGTTCACAACTAAGCTAGTTAGATCCAATCTCTTGGCAAATAACCCTTTGCTAAACATCTTAACAAGAACTAACTCTCATTAGTGCTAAAACATCAAGCAAGCAAGACTAATCAACTCTATACAAGTCAAAATGCTCCTCAAACAGTCAATCTCTTGAGCCAAGGCCAGCAAATCCTCGATTAAACAAGTTCAACATTTCATCAAACACTTGGTGGGCATAAGAGAAAGCTAACAACCTATACCAGTTTGATCAAGACTAATCTAGCATGAATAACAGATTAATAGAGAGAAACCCATAAACAGAAGCACATAACAAGTCTTAATCAAGCCATAGATTCCTCTAATCTACCACATCTAGAAACCCTAAGGTAACTACTCACTCATAATCATGTTTAACACCAAATCACAAAGGGAGAAGATGCTAATCATGATTAAAAGAAAGATTAAAGAAAGATTAAAGCAAATACTTGATTGTATTAAACAAAGCAAAGAAATTGTCTTACAAACTTAAAGAAATAGCTTAAGAACAGTATGTTTACAAGACCTCTCGAAAATATAGAAAAATGGGCTATTTATAGCCTAAGGGAGAAAACCCTAGAAAGGTGGCAAAAGTATAATTAAAAACAGGTTCGGGCTGGGTCAGTATCGGTCAGTTGTATCGACCTCCAGTGACCGAAATTTATCTGTATCGGTCATCAGTGATCGACACACACGACCAAAATTAGAACGGTGTGTTTGTGTCGACCACATCAGACCGATACTGGTGATCAATACTGCTCCATTTCGGTCACCAGAGACCGAAAATCACCAGGCTCTGACCGAAAACTTCTGCAGAGATCTTCTGCTTCGATCCTTCTTGCTCCCTTTTGTCCAGCTAGCCTCCTGGATCATTCTCAAAGCTCCTCCAAGCTCCTTTAAGCTCCAAAAGCACCTAAAAACATCCAATATGCAAGAAAAAATGCAATATATACTCTAAATGCAACCTAAGTCTAAAAGGAGAAGGAAATGGGACAAAAGCTAAGGGAAAATATGCAAAAGAGGACCAAAACATGTACTAAATGCAGCCCTAAATGGTGTAAATACAAGGGATATCAACACCCCCACACTTGCCTTTTGCTTGTCCTCAAGCAAGTAAGAACAAATGGGAGAGTGAGGTTTGAAAGTGGGCTTTCAGATTCCAAAAGTGCAAAGGTAAAGAGATGGTTTCAATGCTCAAGTGCCTAGTTGTAGGATGCAAACACAATCAGCTATACTTAAAAGAACCTAGCCATGCTCATCATGTTTCAAAACGATCTCAAATCTCAACTTAGGCAAATGCTCAAATCAATCAACTCTTTAACATTCAATTAAGTTCAGAACATGAATCATGCTTATGCAAATCAAGTGAAGATATTTGGTTGAAAAGGGGTAAGGTTATGAGACAAGAATGATCTCATTTAAGCACAGGGTTAAAAACATAAAGGATTACTCAATGGAATGACTTCATCTTAGGCAAAATGCTAAAGGTAAAAGCACACTTATGCATGCAATTCAAAGCCCTCTTCTACCCTTACTTCCCAAAGATGAGTCCTAAGCATTTCTAAACCCAAAAGTGAACCCTCTAAGTCTACCCTTTCCTAAACTCTATCCTTTTCTTTCTTTTTATTCATGGCTGGGGAAACCTTCTTCATTCTGCTTGTGTGGTTGCTTCTTCTTGGTTGGGACTTGCTCTTCTTTATTGTAATGGCACCTTCATCACCTTTGGTGGATTGTTCCTGGTCTGATTTTTCTTCTTTGGACCCTCTCTGAGCTTTGTTGTTGGCGCCAATTCTTCCTTTTGAACTTAGAGCTTTTCTTCCCTTTGCTTAACCACAATACTAAACTGTTTCCTCTTTATCTACTATTTCAAATCTTTCCCTTTTCTTTTCAAAAGATAAAAATGTTAAGCTCAAACCACCTAACTCTACCCTTTCAAACCCCAAAAACTCATATCCTAGAATCAAGCTCAAGATGCAAGCTGATATCTACAAGAGAGCTAATCATTGCCAGCCTTATTCCTAACACTTTTTGCTAAGACAAAATCGAAAATGCAATGCAAAGGCCTCACAGCTCTCACAATAGTGTTTAGGCTCAAAAGGAGGTTTTGGTTAAGAGTGAGGATGTAACTGTCCCATAAGTATGAGGATCAGCTATTTGGATCAACAAGAGTGGTAGAAAGGAGAAAGATGGTCCAAATATGTATATGGTAGCCATGAATTCACTTTTCAATGCATAAGACATGATAATTGAAAGTCCAAATTAAAGTTCAAGTTGATAGAGTTGATTTTCAGAGAACAAATGCTTTCAGAATGAGATGAGAAGACCAAATCTAGCAATCTAAGCATGGTTCAGCCTTAACTTCTAGCAATCATATGATGCATCAAACAACTAAGCACTTGAAAACTGAAATCATCTCTAAACACTAAGCACTTTACAAGGAAAATTCATCATAATGCCCTATGCAAATGCAATGCAACATATATGTCAACACTAGACTCAATCTTAAAGGAATTAAATGCAACTACATGCTTTCTTTTTGGTTTGCAAAAAAGCAAAAGATTTTCAAATTTTTTCGATTTTTTGTGTTTTTCTATGCCTTACATGTATGCATGATATGCATGAGACTCAAAGTGAAAAAAAAAAAACTAAGAAAACAGAACACAAAGTCAAACCCCAAATCTCTCCTCCACACTTAAATTACACAGTCCCTTGTGTAATAAAAGCAATGGAAGAGAGAAGCAACAAAATATATTACAAAAATAAAAAGATGCAATGGTATATAACAATGGAAAGGATGTGGTACTTGGTTTAGTGGTAGGAGTGGTTGGATGATCCTGAGGTTTGTGGAGACTTGCTAGCTCTCCTCTTCCTTCTTTCATAAACAATAGTGGAATGCTGTGCTGCTTGAGGTGGTGGAACCCAGCTTGACCAAAGTTGCTCAGCCTGTGAAGAAGTTCCTTGTGAGCCCCATTGCCATGTTTCCTGAACTTCAGAGGAGTTGGGGTTTGGCGCCTCCCAAGCTGATGGAACATGGGCTCTTGACTCATAAGATGAAGCCCTTGGTTGTTCCCATGTACCCTACTGGTCGCTTGGTTGGGTATGAAATGAATGTCTTCCATGGGGGTTCAATATAGCTTCCTCCTCTTCAGTTGGCTGAAGTTGCTCTTCTTGTTGAGAGTTGAGCTCATGGGTGTGGCTGTGGTGGGAAGTTCTTGCTGATGTAGCCTTGTTCTTCTTGAACTTCCCTTTCATCATTTTCATAAGCCCTTTGATGGCTTTATCCTGCCACTTGCACCACTTCTGGAGTGTGCTGATGTGCTCATGAGCTGCTCTCAAAGAGCTTCCTTGGTTGGGTGCTGCATAAGGCTGGAACTGGAACTGCCTTGAGCTGTAGTTCAACACTTCTTCTTCTTCAAACTCATCTTCTTCAGGGGTTCTTCCTTGGCCTTCAGCGCCAGCAGTAGCATTGCATTGTTCTTCTTCTTCTATTTCTCTGATCTCATCAGTGTGCTCCTCCTTTTCATCACTGTCTTCTTCTTCTTCTCCAGGAACAGGGCCGCCTGTGTAGAGCTCCTCAGTGCTTGGGTTGAAGCTGATGTTTCCTTTTCTGAAGAAGGATGTAAGCTTTGGATTGGGGAGGAGGACTTTTGCTGGTGTGTCAAAGCCTGTGATGAAGTTGTACACATGCTTTCCACCAATGGTTCTTTCAAGGTAGTGGCTTCTCTTGAGGTAATCAATGTCAATCCATAGTGGCTCAAGTGCATCACCTTCATGTTTGTCAAGGTCTACTCCACTAGCTTGTAGAACTGCTGTCACAACTCCCCCAACGTGCACTTGAGGGCTCTTCTCCTTCTTTGTCTTACTCAAAACCCAGCTCTGGTAGGATAGGAGCTGCTCCATCAACATAGCCACATAGCAGGGGTTGCTTCTCGGTGCTCTGAGAGGTTCCCCATACTCATCGCTTCCCAACACCTCATACAGTCCTTGGTATATCAGATCTGTCTCCCTTCCTGTGAGATATGTCGACTCCTTCCTTGCAAAGAGTGTATTCGCAAGTGCTTTGTGGACATATCTCACGGCTGGATGCCTTAGGTGCTGGTTCCTTGATCTTCCAGGAGTGTATTGCCCAACCCCAATGATACCCCACAGCCTGGTGTGCTGCCTACTTGGGATTTTGAACCTGCTCAGCTTGGTGTGGTGGGACTTCAGCTCTAGATCCTTGGCGATCTCTGTGAATGTTGAGGAGAACTCTTCCTTGCCAATCCTAAAAGAGATCCATCCATCGCCATTAGGGAGCTCACTGTCTTCATACCAAACCACTTTGAGTGTGGAGAGGAATTGGTAAGTGGGCTCTTGGTAAGATGGGAGTGGCATCTCCATGAAAGCTC